TATCTCTGGGATTTTAATATATATAAATTTATATAAAAAGATATATATATATATATAAAACCTAGACATATATAATATACATTATGTATATGGCACTTGAAAGTTTCTTTTTTTTTGAGAGGTTCTTGCTATAGGGTGTGTATGCTCGCCAGAAAGACAGAGACAGAGAGAAAGAAAGTGAGAAATCACCCCTCAGGGGGGATGGCCACGCCACAATCCCTTCTCATCCATTCTCCTCTTGGGATCTTGGGCATGCACGCACGTGCAGCTGGTGTGAGTTTAAGCCACTGGGTCTGGGACTTGAACCGTGGTCGACTACGTGGGAGTCCAGTGACATAGCCATTACACCAACTGCTGGTCCAGGCATTTGAAAGTTTCTTAAGAGAGAATGAGAGAGAAAGCCCCACAACAGGTCTATGCCATAATCCTCTCCCCAACCTTTCCCTGGTAGCCAGGGTCACCAGGCATATACAGGTTGGCCAAGAATTGAATGCTGATCTTCTATATGGCTCCAGTGTTGCATTGTGCTACTGCTGTGCTACTATAGCTGTAATTATGCTAAGATTTTTATTAACATTTACTGTTATTTATTAATATTTATGGGGCACTTACTCTGTATAAGACATTATGGCAATCACTGTGAGAAACAAAGATATTTAAAATAGCAGCAAAGATCCACAATTGAAGCATTCAAATTATTATATTTTATTTTATTAGGCTTGTAATATTTATTTGGAAACACTTATATATTCTAACTTTTTAAATTTTTCTTCCCATTTCCCATAGTTACTTGTTCTTCCATCTGAAAGGATGTCTGCTACGTCCCTGTTTTAACCCAAGTAGGCTATCAGATTTCCTCCAGGGTCCTGAAGAAGAGTCATTGTCATAGTGATGGGTGACTTAAGAGATTTCACTTGCAAATATTACATCTCACTTTGATGAACTGGGATATATTTTTTCTTCACTGTCATCAAAAGAGCAAACCATCTCTTGCTGTAGGTTTGTTTTAATTTATCTGAAAGTTAAGGAGTTACAGGTAGACTTGCTGATGAAAGGAAGGAAAGCGTTTATTATAAATCCATTATTCCAGATAATAATGCCTTGTCAACAAAGAGTAAGGGCAAACTATCTCCCTTTAAAAAAAATAAAGTCAGACATAAGATGAAAGAAAACTCTTTAGCCTTAATTGGCATCCATACTTAGATAAGTGAGCAACAAGGAAGAAGAGAATAAAACAGGTAGAGAGAGGCAAAAATACATGTTGTAGGAATCCAATATAGAATTTTGAACTCTACCAAGATCTTTTTAACATTAGATATGGGATTGGTTTCTATCTTTATTTTTGCCTCTCCCAGTAATGAAATAATTAGATACTATCTCATACATCCTTAATAACTATTAATAAATTGTTTAAGTTGGTGCTTATTATAAATTAAATAGTGCCAGGTGCTAAAACAGTTTAGGAGAAACACACAACTCTATGTATGCCTTAAGAGGATTACTGTTTAGCTATGGCAATGGGAGACTACCAGGCAGTATAGGATGTCACAAAAGAAGTAACATATACATTAATAACTGAAAAATTCAAAATAAGGTGAACATTGAGATGAGGATCTGAAAACCAGGATTGTCCTTGCCCCATCATTTCTTAGCTATGTGCTTTGGCAAGTCATCTCTCTTTCAAGTCTCCCTTATTGTCCCTCCCAACCTTTTCCTTGACAAAAAGAAAAAAAAAAAAAAAAAGAAGAAAAAGAAAGAAGGAAAGAAAAAAAACGTCATCTTATATCTGTCAGATGTATGACAATATTTGGAATCCTTATCTGTGAACTCTGTTGTGTTGCCCAAATTGAAATCTCCAGTTAGTTAGGGCCCACTGAGCTGCCCCTTCTGCGTACAGTGAAGAAATCTAGGTCCAAAAGTTACCTAATTCAATAGTAAGTTAGGACTCAAAACCAAATCTTCTCATCCTGAAACAGATTATTTTGTCCTTACAGCCAATAGTTCATCTTTCTAAATAATTACACTATTCACAGAAAAAGTTTAAAATAGACTTTTGGAATGGTTTATTAAGTGAGAGAACTACTTTTTAAAATTAAATAAAGATCTTGTATATGTGAAAATGAGAAGGAAGGAGTACTTCCATGAATTAGACAGAACAAGGTGAGTAATCAATTCTTTAGACTCTTGAAGGCTATATATTACAAAACTACAGAAATACAATTTCCTCTGGGGGCCAGCAAGTGGCCTGGTGGTTAAGGGCACTGGACTCCTACATGGTCAACTGTGATTCGAGTCCCAGACAGGGTGGCTTGCTTTCTCACTTTCTCTTTCTCTCACTCTGTCCCTCTCTGGTCAAATTAACAATAAATGAATTCATAAATAAAATTAAAGAAAATAATTCTTTTAAAAAATACAATTTCCTCTGACAGCAAGGACCCTTCAAGCCATCATTAAATAGAGGGTTAATCATAGATACAAGTTGAGTGTTAATGGCAGGGCAGGGAGGCCAACGGATAAACCCTGAGCGCAGGAGGTGAAAAGCTACAATCCTAGTTCCCAGTATTGATCAGAGCCAGACCTAAGGTTGCCCTCCTCACAGCCTCGAACTCCAAGCGCCCAAGTTCACAAGCTTACAGGCATTCTATTGATTTACACTTCCGTCCTTCAACAGGTAGCGCCAATTACAGTCCCCAAAGCACGGCCCTCCAGTATACTGGCCAGTACTGCTGTCAATCAAATACCTCACCTACTTTTCTAAATTCTCGCGTCCCCCTTTCATTGGCTTTTCTTTCCGCCTATCCTCAGATTTCTTCCCCGCCTCCCGACCACAGAACTTGGCCCTATGGAACCTGGGGTTGGCGCCGAGGCTACTCCCGCCCTTTGACGTCCGGAGCGCTCCGCCCCTTTCGTAGGCCCGCGCGGCCGGCAGGGAGGGGCGGGGCGAGTGAGGGCCGGGG